TACCATGGCCTGCAAAATCGCCAGATCTCAACCCTATTGAAAATATGTGGGGTCTTACGGTTCAGAGATGGTGTAACCGTAATGAACGAATAGCAGAAGCACTACAAGGGCACTGCAATGAGGTTTGGGAGGAAACACGTGGGTCTGATATCTGCTCAAGATTGGTGGGCTCGATGAGTGAACGTCTCCAAGCTGTTATAGAGGCAGATGGCGGCTACACAAGATTTTAAGAATTATAATTTTATAAAAGAATTGTATATATTTTTTAACAACCAAAGAATTGGCATTTTCACTATCTCTTCTAGTTTTAGCCCTTGTCTCGCACTAAGCTATGGGTCGGCGCAATATGTTTTTCGTCGCTATTCATTTCTGTTATCCGTTATCTCAGTATATTCAGACCTATAACACTTACGCATAACATTTCACTACCTACTGATTTTTTTTTATTTGTATTAAAATATAATTAATCTACATTCTAATGTAGGATATTTGTAGACTATAAGACTTTATTTACGATATTCTAACTCTAAAGTATTTAAACATACAAACAGACAGACAGAAAAAAAATATTTTTGGCTTCTATTAGTCTTATGAAGGCCGTCCATATATTTTTTTTTCCAAAATATCTTACAAATGTAACCTTGTTACATTTTTATTATAGGTATAGATAATTACTGTCAAAGGTTACGTCAAAATGATGAAGATAGCAATAATGACGTGTACTTGACGTGTCAAAAAATTAATGCTACGGAAAATCAACCTTGTTGTTAGTTGACGTAACACGCGAAATTCAACCTTAGGGTGGTAGACTACTTTCTTGGCCGACTGTACAATAGGCGGCCTTATCGCTTGATAGCGATTTCTGGCAGGCAACCTAACAAAGTGCGGAAATTTAACTAACAATAAGTACAAATATCAGCAGATAGTGCAAGCTTAAAACAAAGTAATTACGCGGACAAATAGAAAAAAAGTTAGCATATATTCAAATGACAAAACTAAAAGTTATACAAAGCGTGAAACCGTACTAGCGACAAAGTGCGACATGTGGGGGAGGAAAGAGAGAAGAAGAGAAAAAAAAGAAAAGAGAGGAAGAAAGGAAAGGAAGATTGATCTTCAGACAGGTATAAAGATTTTAGCAGCGATTTGAAAATGTCATAAGACTGCCTGTCGTATTGACTCGGGTAGCTCACCTCTGCTACTTGTTGACGCCAAGACAACGTATTGTCAAGGATGATACCCAGGTCCTTTACAGCATCAGCATAAGGCACACAAACCCCATCAAATTTATTTGGGGGTAATTGGTCAGTTTTAATCCTAGAAATATAAAAAAGAATTCCGATTATAATACATTGTGTCTTGCAAGGATTTACTTTAAGACCAAAAGAGTTACTCCAATGGACAGTTCGAGCCAAGAGTGAATTAATAGTGCTAATTGCATCAACAAGCTGCTCAAAGCACTTCTGGGAGTAAATTGGAAGATCGTCTGCATACAAATGATAGGGAGAAGAAAAGTGTTGAGTGATGGAATTAATAAAAATAGAAAACAATAACGTAGAGAGCGCTTGCACTTGCCTTGAGGGACACCGGCTGTCGTAGAAGACCACGTAAAACCGAATTTTCTACACGTATACGTTACCGATGACCTTCTAAGTAGCTACGAAACCAGTCAACTATAGTTGGAGATATGTTAAGGGAACGCAGAATATCTAAAAGGATGTCAAAATCACCCGTGCCAAAAGCATTCCTGAAATCCAGTAATGTTAACACAGTAAGCTGCTGCTTTTCCATTCCATGCCGGATATCGTCGGTGATGTTAATTCTATTCTAAAATTAAATAAAATATATAAATAAAATTGAAAGTGTTGCTTAGAGGCCGGTTATACCCTAATATAATGGAAGTAAGTCCACGTCGTATTTTTTAATTCTCATAATAATATCGTAATCATAGACGACACTAGTCTAAGCAAATGTTGAGTGTTTCTTGCTCTGGAAGACTGCGCTAATTGATTGTAAAGAAAGTTAATGGTTTTATGTAAGCACGATATACAAATAAGTGCAAAAATACATATGTATATGAAAATGTGGGTCTTGAACCAGAATTTGGCTACACTGTCATTAAATGATAACAATATTATATATGGCAATATTTGAGAAAAATTTTGAATATTAGTTATAACTATAAACAAGAATTGACTTCAACAAAAAATCAAATAAAAAAGAAACTAACGTTTTTTATATGTCAATAGAATCCACTTGCATTTTGCCCTTGTAATATCAATTTGAAGTCCAATTTTAATATTTATTTGTCACCATTGATATGTTAGGAAGACATTGCATTGTACCTTTGAGAAATCTTAATATTTAAAATAACAATTTCATTAAACGAATGTTATTCATCATCATCAGCCCTTTTACGTCCCCACTGCAGGGGCTCAGGCCTTCCTTATGGATGGTGAAGGAGGATGGGCCATGACCCTCCTCGCTGGCCCAATGCGGATTGGAGGGTATTAACGAGTGCAAATGCAGCCGGGACCAACGGCTTAACGTTCCTTCCGAAGCATGGAGTATCTCGAGATAATAATTTTTTGGTCACCCATCCTGTGATCGACCCTTGCGAAAGTTGCTTAACGACTACGATCGTTGGCTACCGATCTGCTTAAAATTTAATAAACATTGTTTGTGCATAACCCTACATTTTGTATGATAAAACACTGTTAACATAGTTATTTATGAGAATAGGATAATTTACAATATATAATTAATAAAATCTTAAAATAGTGATTTACAGGATTTTTCCAAGAAACAAAGTTAAATCAACAAAAAAATATTCACGGCAAAACTCCCAAAACTGCCGGAAGTTTTAGAAGGTTTCTGGAATGTTTCCTCAGAGAAGGAAGGTTTTACGGCAATTTTCATCTCTAGTCGGGATGCAAATCAGATAGTGAGGGAACTTCCCAAAATGCAACAACATCGAGTTGGATACAAGCAAGAAGGAATGACTTGCAGAGCGACTGTCTAACTCCTCTATATATAGGATACGACATCATAGCGATGTTATAGTGTTATTTCGTTTAATTTTACTACTTAAACGTGTACTTTAATAATGAAGAACGAATGATAAAGAATGATGAATATGGATTATACAACATCATTTCCTACTTAATCATTTATCCCAAATCTATCCACCGAAAAGTACATAAAACGAAATATCGTCATAATATTTGCTAAGATATTGTGTCCTGTAAAAGAGTAATAGTTTGTAGATTTGGATGTTTGTTACTTCTATACGCAAAATCTACTGGATGGATTTTGTGTGTATTTGACATATAAGTACCATTAGGTACTTATATGTCAAATACACACAAAATATATTATAGGCTAGGGATAAAATTACCTCCAAGGACGCTTTTTTTATGGACGCTGTCTAAACGGTAAGAAATATATGATTACTTTTTAAAGTTGTAGAGTTACGGATTTCAGTACATTTTTATTTAACACGTGTTTAAAGACTCACTTTCGGTGTTTACAATGGATTAAAAAAATAGCGCTTTATGAGCAACTGCATTGAAAAATTAATAAAAATAACAAAGTTATTTTTTAACCAATAAATTCATTGTGTTAAGACTGTTTTTCGCGAATAACTCGTAACTTAAGTTATATTTTATTGAAAAATATTCTCATAAAATTCACAGTGAAGTTTTTACATTTATACTGCTTTATCGATATTCGAACAATTTTTTATAGTATAATAAATTTTTTTGGGGAAATTTGAAATTCTAAACCTTAGAGTATAATGAATTCTCCTGTTTAAATAGTTTAAATTCTTTTGGGATAAAGTCTTAATGAGACAATAGGACGAAAATGAAATCGCTGCTTATTAAAAAAAAAAATAGAAAAGAACTCTATTATCATCATATTAATTAAAAGTCAAAAATTATCACGGGCCGCGGCGCTAATCCACTACGCCACCGAGCTACTTCCAGTTTTCTACTTTTTGTAAATTAAAATATTTTCATTCCTTTATATTTATATACGCACACTGGTTTAGATAAAAGTACTATCATTTGCTACTGAAATATTTACAGATAATGCGCTACACGAGTAATCTTTTAACCTTTCTAACTTTTCTAAATCTTTTAATACTCAGTACGAATTAGTGACCCATCTGAGAAGACTGAACAGGTTGGATATGATTATCGACACATCAGAAATGCGTTCACGCTCTCAGGGTGAAAGTGAAAACATAACTTTTCTTTCCATAATTAATTGATATTAGAACTTGTTATTCTAATGTTTTAGTTTGTTATAATAAAATTAAAACTATTGATGAACTTCGTAATATATGTTGAAATTATTAAAATGTTCAATCAAGACTGTCAGTCTTTTAAAAGAATACTGTAACTTTAGCGTTTGAATATGTGAAAACACTATTTTATCCATTTTTTTAAGTAAAAAATAGTAAATTGCTAGTGTACAACTAATACGCTATAATGACGTAGAAAAAATGTGCAACATGCTTGTTTTAAGATGAAGTGTACCGGGTTTGGTTCCAGTAAATTGATAGCAATTATTTTATACAAACTAGGTTTAGTGCTGTCAAATTGAGTTTTTTGTTGTGAAAATAAATTGTTAAGATAAAGGAGGTAATTAAACTTATTATATTTTATAGTAAACAGGAGTATATTTAATTTCTTTGTTAACATATGACTATAATGATGCTTAAACAAACCCAAAGTAAGTTTTTTTTAGTTCTGTTTAGTTTATGGAATAGTACAATATATCTAATAATAAGTACCATCTACAACCTTTTAGTGCAAAACTCGTTTCTAGTTTATATTTTACCGATTTTGGAGTTAAGTACCTCTTTATTGAAATAGTAGGGATCGAATTAAAGACTTGATAAATGCGTTTGTGGTTATTTATCACTAAACCAAGCGTTTTGTCTGCAAGGTTTGTTGTATGAAGTGCGAGTGTTGGCCCGAGTTGTCTCAGTAGATGGCATTCCGGTCGCGCGCCGCTAACGTACGGACGTATACAACACGTTCACCGTCGCACGATCCTATCGAAGCTTTTTGTTCCGCATTTGTATTTTTTAATATCAGCCAACCAAAAAAAAATCGTGGGACTCGTTTCTTATTTAGAAGTTTTGAATAAAGAACGCGAGGTGGCGTACGGTGCCGGTGATAACGGAAAGTGATGTGATTTGTGTGTTGTGGTGCAATGTGTTGAGGTTGGGTTGTTCAGCATGGGGTACGCGTCGACGGGAGCGGGGCGGGCAGCGCACGAGGCCCTCCTGGCCCGCCAGGACGCGGAGCTGAGGCTCATGGAGTCGATGAAACGAAGTCTACAGGCTAAGATGAAGAGTGACAGAGAATACGCACTCGCTCTATCCGCTGCAGCAGCACAAGGGCAGAAGATGGATAAGTGCGAGGAACTTAACGGTTAGATACCATTTTAATAAAGCCCTCTAAAAATTTCATATTGGACGAGGAAAAGAAATAGTGCCATTAATAGTTAATTTATCCGTCTAAAAGTATAACGGTCTGTTATCCCTTCAAAACTACCCTCATTCATAGATACCGTTATTTGTTCTGTTTTAAATTAATTTATGTTTTAAATGTTATTTTGATAAGACATAGCTTGTTGTTTTGATATAAGTTTCTTTGTTATTATGAGAGGCGTGTGTTCTCAATACACCTGAATAAGCAAAACGTTTGAAGATAACGTATTACGTCATTGGACATTTTCAAAGATTTAACTTATTCACTCGAAAGATATTAAATTTTAGCGGTACACAAGACTTAATAAGATTTGAAATCTGTATCAAAATTTCTTGTACTGTGTCGGTGTTTAGATAAGAGAGGTTGGAATGCAAGCAAGACCTACAGACAAAAGAGTGAAGGACAATGTTTACTCATTTGTTTTAGACACACTTTACAATTTATTGGTAGCTGTCAACTGACAAGCGCCAACGCAATATCGTGAACAAAAACCTCTTTTATTGACAACTAGTTATTATCTATGTGACCTGTTGGGACTACTTTGGTTTTCTTTTTTTTTAACTTTTATGATTTGCATGTTCTGTTAGTGTTAAGCATGATTATTCAAACTGTGCTTGTGGTTACTTGAGAATACTATTTAAATTGTACTAAATAGACCTTAAATAAAAGAGGGTGTAATTAAATGATGAAACATGTTCGTATATTCGATTTAGGTGATAAATGTTTTGTAAAAGCTCTGCGTAAAAATGTTAAACAAAAAAAGTACCTACTTTAAATATAATATTATTAACATATGAAATGGCGCCCTTTTGTAAATCTGTTATTTAAATTTTCTTAGGTGGCTTTTAACAAAAATGCCACGTCGTTTAATCTTTCTATAATCGCAAAAGCACTGAAAAAGTTACACATATTAGAAATAAAAAGAAAGTTTAATCAATTCTTATTACGTACACTGATTCGGCGGAAAGTAATAATTGCCGAATGAAGCTTTTCATTAATCCATCTAGAAATTGAATGTAGGGACGGAAACATCAGTGGATACTCGTAAAATTACGATGATAGTACAATTTCCTATGGAAAAAGTACCCACTTAGCCTCACATTTGACTTTCAGTTTGAATAGAAATCGTCATTTCTTTACAGTGACTTTGCATTTATTCTCATAAAGATACATGACTCATTCATTATCGGATTTAATTATCCAAACTTTGACTTTGACGAAAAATTTCATTTAATACTGGTTTGCCATGGTTATTTGATAGAAAATATACTAGATTAATGATTCCGATAGTGTAGTGTGATTGGGTGAGAAATTCTGTGATATATCAATTTCACGCGTTCCAAGATCGATGAAGTTTGCCTAGTATATTCGAGGTCATATATTGAATTGTCTATAAATAATTTTCGTATTGCGAATGGAATATCAACATTCAATGAATAGGTTATTTTATTCCAATAGTTTTTAAGATTACACTAGATGTTTTTCAGCGACTTCGTCTACATAAATTATAGCCGGAGGTGATATACTCCGTATGATATAACTTTCCGAAGGTGAAATAATTTTTAAAATAATTACAGTTGTTTCGGAGCTTATATGTTTAACATTAGACAATCAAATCTTTGGCCTTTTGCTGGCCCAATGAGTGTTGGAAGGTATTATCGAATGCAAATACAGCAGTTAGTAGTTATAAAATAATATTATCCAAAGTTAACCTGCTGGCTAACACCAAGGACCAAATATTATTCATACTCCACTGAAAAATGAATCACTAATAATAATAATGAATCTAAGACAGAAATCCATAAATACTCTATGCCATTAGAATTCATAGATAAAACAGATGTAACCTTTTATCAATTGCAAAATATTTTTGTAAAATAACTCTAGTAAGATTTGAGTAGGATAATCAATCATAATCGGGAAGGCGTTGGCAGCGCAGGACCGGTCGTCTTACAGATCTATGGAGGAAGTCTATGCTCAGCAGATGAATCAATCTAGAATCTCAGTAGCTTGCGAATTGGGTGTGCCCCTTTTATAGTCTTGTCATAGGATATACATTATCATCATCCTTACTTCGGAAGCACGTTAAGCTATTGATCCTAACTATATCTGCATTCATTATTACTCACTTTGCACTTATGGTCCCGTTCTCCCTATTTGGGAAAGACTAATGTTGAAGACATTAATAGATTTATGATCATTGGGTTAGATGAGGTTTTCTTCTCCCTATTTTTTTTCTATTTATTTATACAAAAACATTACAAAACAAATTAATTATTTTGCAATCAACGACATTTATCGCAATTAAGTAATATTAACATATATGAAATGTAACATACAGTGATATTTGATGATTTAACCTACGAAAACAGACCAAGTTACAAAAAGATTGAGGTTGAAAGAGTTGAAAAATTATATTTGATACCATCCATAGGAAAACCTGAATATTGGGGAAAAGATGGCGTCACGATCAGTCAATAATAATTATAATTTACATTAAATAGACCCTAAGTTCACATTACCTTTCCTTTTCAAGGTTCCGTGATAGCGTCAGCTTGGCGCACTATGACTGAAGAGTGGGAGAGTACTAGCCGACTGATCAAAGCTAATGCAGAAGCACTGGAATCTAGAGCCTTAGACCGTCTCACAGCCCTAATGGTAGAGCGCAGGAAAGCCAGGAAGGTTTACCAAGAAGACCACACCAAAATCTCTTCGCAGTTTACACAGGTTTGTGTTTATGATTTAATCTCTGACTAGATTTCTAATATTTTTTTTGGCAATTGAATTCCTAAAAGTGCTAAATGATTTTTAAATATACACAAACATTTTATGGTTAACTACCAGCGGGAAGAAGAAGATTGTCTTGGGCCTGGGTGTTGTAGTACCGTCGTCATTTCAGATTTTTATAATGGGATGTCAGCAATGTATGTGGTAGTGTCTAATATTTAGTTGTTATTTATTATTTTCAATAATATTTCTTTATTCTAAGTTATCTTCCGGCAGAACATAAGCAGTGAATGTGGTCCAATAAATGTTGTTTACAGAATGCCGGAAGAATAGAAGTTTGTCGTGAATGTGGCACAGGTAGTATAGAATCGTTGCTCTCGGTACTTTATCATTATGTTCTGTCAGTATCACCGTTTCGAATCACGTCCTGTAACGATAACGCACTCTGACTCATTACAAATATGGTTGACAATTCAATTTACTGATAAATCACGTAGAACGTGAAGAAATAAGTCATAGTTCTAAGTTTCTCAACAATAGTAAACACTGAAACCTTGACTGAAACATCTATTTATAATAGTGTTTGTTGACATTGTTTGGGAAAAGCGTTTAATCGGATTGCAGAGAATTTGATTTTAAAAATAAGACGTTATTTAGGTAAAAAAAAAACAATTTTTGGAATGTCGCCACTGTTATGGACAGAGTAAAGCAATTTTCAAATGAATAAAAAAATCATATAACAAATGAAAATCGCCAAATTTGGTCATTTAGGTTTGGTATGAGACAGTTCCTGCAACGAATGTTGAGTATCAAAATTAAAACGGCAATTTTTTTTTCATATTTTGTTAAAAAAGTATTGAAGATTTTTGAAATGTATGCATTAAAATCGTGATTATAATTAAAAAATCCGATAATTTTCGAATTTATATGGGCTATTATTTCACAATTTGGTTTCATTGCAATGTTTGCATTATTGATGCAAGAGCTAATCTCCCGTTGCGTCCAGTTCCTCGCCGGCTTCCTATCTGATCGACTCCTAGAGCTTGTGTAATTAGGTTATAAACGGTGCAACGAAAGAACTGTGCCGACATTGCAGGCCGGTTTAAACGAGATCAGCTTTCCCTGTAGACTGTACTACCTGCCGCAAACGCTTTCTATGTGGGCTAATCGTTCCTGTTTGACGCAGAAACGAATCATTTCATAATACACAAATCTGACGCAGATGAACGACAGTCACCATCGGAATCGATTCTCATAATACCGCAAGTTAAACGTTCTAACTTGAGTCGTGACGAAACGAACGCTCCCATAAAGTAGATTTATTTTCGCCGGTTCATGCGTCTCGTGAGCAGTAAACCTGTTTATCTGCATTAGGATTCGAAATTGGTAGGTTATCGCGATGCTCGGTCGCCCGTCTGCAGGACTGGGCCGCTTGCCAATTTTTTACGTGCGATGTAAATAAAACAAACGAATATTGGCGCCTGTTTAGCAACGCCGTTCTACCGATACGTGAAAATTTCATCGGTATTTTAAATTCGGCCAGTTCAGATTGTATGCTTTGTAATTTTATATTTATTAGTAATGCTTGGCCTCGATTAGCCTTAGTTAAACACCAATAGTGACTAAGTGCTTTAGAAAGTTTTGAGCGGCGAGGTCGGTGGCGGTAGAAACGACAGGAAGGACATTTGTATGCTAAGGAATAACCATCATCTAATGCATGGCTATGGCAACATGTATTGTTCAAGGATATGCTTATAATAGTTATAATAAAAGATAAAGTGACACTTTATAATACTTTAATGACTATATTTTATCAATTACGATATCGTGATCTTGTCCCCCCAAGCCAAGTTTACCGTAATTTAACGAATAAAGGAAAGCAATCTTAGGTTGATCAGTAAACAAAGGCTGAGCAAACATAACAGAATAGCAGGTAACGTGCGACACAACCTTCCCGTTCTTATGTATGACTTTCGTGATCGAATAGAAAAGGATGTGAGACACAATTCCAAGACAGATAGTGATTTCTAACTGAGCCGGGTAAAGTGGAGCGGAGCGCGGGGATTGGTCGTGGCACCTGTCACCGTTCATTGGCCCTATGCTCGCGCAGCGCGTGCACCACAGATTTCTTCTCGAGCTTTTATTTAATTTCCATTAGTCCAAGTACTTTTTTTTTAATCACGAAATTGTCAATGCTCTGTTTGACGCTGATTCGAATCGTGTTCCACAATTAATTTTATGGTTTCGTTGTTAATATCGGAATAAGTTTCTGTTTGTTTCTGATAAAGGAAACTAACTGAACTTCAAATATCTAAAATTGCTTGACCCTGATTTTGCGATCGGAAATGGTGTAATATTGATTTCGACAAAGAAATATAATGGGCATGAGTAAAAACAAATACAAAAATCTGGTAAACACGTTGACATTCAGTGATATCTGTCAGATGTTTCGAAATGGGGTAAAGTAAGGAAAAACCAATATATCGCTAATGAGACGTTCACAACTTAAAGGCCAGAGGTGGCCTAGTTACACAGATTCCGGTTCTGATAATGTTGTGTTCTTAACGCCTTTGTTATAGAGTTTACAATTGAATGTTTTAAATGTTTTAGAAATACAGTCTCTGGTACAAGTTTATGTTGTCCGTAAATAAACTCGAAATTGGATCGAATAGGATAACGAGTGCAGATGTGCTAGTGTTTGTCTCTAGTGCTTTTTACATGAAATCTAGTCCACGATACGACTTGCATTGCGTGAGTATTGATTAAGAGTTCCGGTTGTATGTAGGTAGGTTTTCATGGTTTTACTTCTAGTTATAAGCTAATTACGCCTGTTACAGAAAAAAGATTATTAATATGCTATGAATTAATACTGTAAGTTCCCTAAAAAAGAATAAAATTAATTTAAATATCCAAAAAATGTGTCAATTTTTTAAAAATACACTCGACGAATCTTTTTAAAGGCGATTATTAATTAATTTTTCTTTTATTAGATTTAAAAATGCTAGGTTTTAAAAGTCTAATCTACTGTGTATAATATAAAACAATGTCGCTTCCCGCTGTCTCGTCGCCGAGATCTTTTAATCTACACCACGGATTTTTGCGGTTTATATCGATTTACAGTATATATGTATATTATATAATTTTACATGTAATATATATAAAAAAAAAATACAATACAAAAATGATTTATTGTACACACCATTTTTCATAAAATTATGTCGGAATAATAGTATATAAGGTAGTACAAGGGCGGCCTATGCGCTTAAAACAATTTCTTGCAGATTACCTTTGGATGGACAGTAGTATATGAAATCAGATATACGGTGGCTTAAATCTACTTACAGAAGAAATAATTAAGGTAGCAAATATAATTTAGGAGAAATGAATACGCTAGTGACAAATAGTGATCCCATTCCATGGTTTAGAAAGATTTGGGAGTTTGAGTAATGGACGACAAAACAGGACCAAGCGATCGAAGCCACTGGCGGAAAGCTAGTGTATGTTATAATGCTGTTATATTTTTTCTCATGCGTTGATGTCTTTTTTAGGAGTTGTATTTGCAAAACGAGAGGAGTAGGTTTTTTGTTCTGCCATATTTTTAATATAGCAACACTATCCTTAAGAAATACGGTATACATTTATATGCTTTTGATGAAACGGATTTTGATGAAATTTGGTATACATATCGACGCCTAAGAACCAAGACCGTCTATCTACAAAAAGTCGATTTTACAGAAGACGAAAAAACGTTTCACATTTTCTTCTATAACAAGGTTTTTATTTTTATATCTGATCATTTAATGGATGGGCATGGGTAATAAGGTGTTTACATGTATTTCAAGAAATCTTCATTAGTTTCAAAATTGCTGTAGATAGCTGGTATTACTTAAAATATTGGCGTATTTACATGCAGGTAACTGTAATATAGATAGATGGTATTGGCAAACGAAATAACATAGATTAAATTTTTTAAGCAAACAAAAAACTATTAGTTTTATTTCATTTTAAAACGAGTAATTACGTGTTCCTATAGACAGGCGGTATTTCCATACAATTTATTACGACACGTAACTTTGGTGGTTTTGGTATATTTGTCATAACTCCTTATTTATTGTGAATTTGAAGTAATCAATTAAAAGAAATGATGCGTAAATTAACCACGAAAAGAACTGCACTAAAAAGTCAAAACAGCCAAAAGTGTAGATAGAGATCGTTTTGGTTCTTATGCGTTGATATAGGGTATTAGCTAACTTAGATAATAAGATACTTTTTATTCCACTAAATATTTCCCTAGGGCCAACGCGGGCGAAGCCGCTGGCGGAAAGCTAGTTATTTATAAGTATACATTGTGGTTTATGTGTAATCGTTATTTTACCTTTTAATATAATCATTAATCGGCAATCATTCTTAGTTTTTTAGAAAAGTATATTACTTCAATTTACAAATACGAATTGTGACAGTAGAACACATACAGATTAGCGCCAATACTCGATCTTCGTCAATCATCATATGACTTTATTTCACAACAGAGAAAATGTTTGACACAATGCCAAATATTATATGATGTTGTTACAATATGTACATACACCTGAAAAAAAAAAGTAATCACGTCAGGATAATTTTCAAATAGGTAGCATTAAAACAATTCCTTTGAATTTAAGATCTGTCGGGCGCAAAATTGAAACACCATTTATTTATTTAAGTATGACTATAGGTATGTTACGTCTAAGCTGATTCATTTGGATGAACCAAATAAACATGTGAAATATCTTGTATACGCCAATAATTACGTAGGTTATTTATTAATTAAAATTAAGATTTTTTTAATATAATATGAATAAATATGAATTGTAATATAATATGAATTGTAAATTCATTGTAAATTACCTGCAGTTACTATTTTCAAGTTTGTGTCATACTTCGAATCATTCAACACCTACTCAATCGTGTTCCTAAACATTTTCCTGTGTTCTTGTGCCTTGTGCCTTGAGATGACGTATTAATCAGAATCGTCCAAGTCCAAATTTACTGTTTAACAGAAGAAATAACGTAAAGGATAATGGAAAAAATATTGAAATTACAATTGAGCCAATAAGTGAACTAAAAAGAGTGAACATCTTAATTCATGTATATTTCATTTGTTCTCGCAATTATACATTTTTCTAAAGAAAATTGATAAACGCATGAGTTACTTTGTAGTTGAGACAAAATATTTGTAATGTTTTATTCTTGTAATAAAAAAAAAAATTGTTGATGCTCTATTTGGCGTACGTAATACATCATTATCAGTTTCTACTTATGTTATTGACCTAAATTTTAATTTCGTTTCGTTTTCTCGCGTTTGAGCGTTGTGAAAATGTTTTTTCTAGTGCCTTTTTTTCCCATAAGAACATTCGATTTTAAGTAATATAAAAAAAAAAAATAATTGATTTAGACTTTCTTAAAATAATTTATATAAAAGCAAAGGTGACTAACTGAGTGATGATTGATCAATCCACGTACAGCTTATACACAGACCCGATGGATTGACCTAAAAGGATTTGCAAATATTATAAAGACTCGTTTATAATGTAGCTTCCCGTAGGTGAAAGAATCTTCATGATCGGTATAGTATTTCGGAAGTATAACAAACAAAATTAGAAAATTAACCTCTTTATAATATTAGTACCTATACGTAAACAATAAAGGGGTTTCAAATAAAGCCGCCGATGGGAACCAAGCTTTATAATAATATAGATACTGTGGATAACAGAAACTGGATATTAGCCTTTGTAAATTATATAGTTTTTATATACTCGTATGTTATGTTTTTATATAATTTTAAATATTTTACCAATTTCTTCTTTATGATATATACCACATTATAAAAAAATCGTTTATATACTTTATACACTTTGAAATTATTCAATAAATTGTTGCGAAGCCAAGATGCCATTCATCTGCATTATATGATCAATTACGTATCGAATTGAATTAAATCGCTTACAGGTTCGTGAAATGTATGAGATATATTTTTGTTGAAAAGGTTAATTTATTTTATGAATTTATATTAATCGACTGGTCGCCGTACTCAGTGATGTGTGACGGCCTTTGTTACGCAAGCGGTCGATCGTCTCATTAGTGACTGTGAAAGTATAAGCGATCAGAGAAAGTGCTTTTTGATTATCTAATGGCACATGCTTTGACTGCCACCTGGCGGACCAGTTTGGCCATGGGTGCTTCAGATGACGTGAGGACGCAATGTGATGGTTATCATTGGTGTTTGTGACGTCACCATATTATTTAAAGTACGAAAGATAAATATTGAAACGAACTTCGAGTTAATAGAAATAAGCATGCAGTTTTTATAGCAAGCAATAATGCGGAGGGCGATTCGCATTGGGCCTTATCCTTAACTATCCATGGCCTGAACCCTTGCGGTGGGGACGATAAAAGGGCTGATGAGGATAATTAAAATATATCCGAGATTGAAAGATATTTTTATATGATTGGTGTTAAAATAATTGTATATGACCATATTATTTAGATATTTGATTGGTTCTATCCAATAGTACTTATTTGAACTTGAGAGCCTATTTAATGTTATAAGGAAGGATTTTTATTCATAAACTTAAATGTGTAAATGTGAATTATAAAGAAAAGCAAAATACATACAGTACATTTAAAACCGAAAATTAAATTCTCGCGTCCGTTGTACAAGAATGCGGACGAATTTTATTTTCTCATACAATAATAACGTTTGCGTATGCAAATAGTAGTCAGATGTAACACGACGACCGTAGCATCGCTATTTTAGCTTCTCAAAATGTCAGTGTCTTGGAATGTTTGGATTCCTCCAATTAATACTTAGAATTATAAAATAAATTATCTAAAAAAACAAATGACGTTAAAGATAAACTTCCATTTCATTGTGATACATTTGTTCACTTAAGTCACACGTAATAACATATATACAACTATATTTTGTTTTAAGGATTGGATTGAATTTTTTACGTGGGAGAGCCACGCTTCGGCATGAATGGGTCGGCTCGACCGGAGTGATACCACGGCCTCACAGAAAACCGACATGAAGCAACGCTTGCGTTGTGTTTCGTCGTGTGAGTGAGGGTACCGGACGCCCAACCCCTTCCTATTCCCTTCCCTCTACCCCTAAACCCTTCCCTCCCTATGATCATATTCGTCCCTCAAAGGCCGGCAGCGCGCTTGTAACCCCTCTGGTGTTGCAGGTGTCCATGGGCGACGGTAATCACTTACCATCAGGTGATCTGTCTGCTCGTCTGCCTCCTATCCCATAAAAAAAATACCCAAAGGGTAAAAACGCGACCCTATTACTAAGACTCCGCTGTCCAACCGTCTGTCAATAGGCTGTAACTCATGAATCATGATAGCTAGACAGTTGAAATTTTCACAAATGATGTATTTCAAAATGATCTGTTGTCGCTAAAATAAATACAATTAACGTAACTTTTTCTGAATTTTTTAAAGATAATGGTACGACCCTTGTGCGCGGGTGTTTCTTGGTATTTTGATTAGACATTCTCCGTTTTATTATTATAGTATTATAGCTTAAACTATAATTATTTAATGATAGCTTTACAGTTTTCAAGGATAAAGTGCTGAAGTATATTGGACATTAATCGGTGTATGTACATGTGTTAATTTTATTATTATTTTTTGTAATTTAATTTATATGATAGTATTTTGTATTTTCAAGTAGCTTAACCTAAAACTTAACAATGTTGTGTATACCAGTTATTGGCTATCATGTCGGTCCTGTACAATTATTTCCGTATGTAAAAAGTGTATTTACATGTATAGCTGTTAGTGTAGCTTAAATAAATAAATAATAAGTGACACTTCTCAAATTGACGTTTTCTAATCTGTCACTGTCAAATCGCTTCAGGCGACCAATGATATTATCAAGTATCTACTAGCTTTAGTCCTCGTTTAATGTTAAGACGATTTCGTTGTACATATTGTGTTATATATCGCACACCTAGATCTAAACTAAGACAACTCAAAAAGCTAATTTGGAGGTTTGACAATACATTTGTTTACGTGGCAGGAGCGCGACCACTGTTGATTCAACAAAAGAAAGCTAAAGTTATCTAGCGGCTCATCCCCTAACCTTTATTGAATCTGTTATATTGGATAGATGCGTATGATCACCGAGAATTGGAATATTGTACTAAGTCAAAACTCACTCAAATTTTTGAGATGTCTCAGTTTAGATCTAGGTGTGCGATATAATTTCGGTACATTTGATTTTCATAATAGGTTTATTTGTTTAGAAATTTTGAAAAGTGTGGCCTTTATAATTATTCGTGTTGTTTATGTACCGAGTGTGTGCAATTTGCGCCATTATGCAATTACAAAGGCATCCGAGATCGTAATGGATTAATGTAGCGAAGTGAGCCCAGTGGAGCACTGCCAAGGGCGAACGCCAAAGAACGTATCTTTGCAACGCATGTGGTTATGACAACACATTTTATGCCTTCATGCTATAAAAATGATTTCCTCAATGAGTATTTTGAATAAGCTGCGTAATAAATATAAATGGAAGAGTGGTTATAAACCTTATTTACTTGTTGAAGATGAAAATAATAATGATCTTGCTTGAGTTCGCACGCCGGTACATGATGTCACCATATCTGAGGTTTATAACTCGATTTCCTTTTGATTCGATGTCGAAAAAAGATATCGTTTGTCTTATCTATGCTTGCAAAGTCAAGGGCACACGAAGGTTCAAGATTGTCTTTATTTAGTCCTAATATTATAAATACGAAATTAATTCTGTCTGCTTGTCTGTTACGTTTTCACGCCTAAATTACAGAACCAATTTTAAAATTTGGTATGCAGAATAGACGTTGGATGAGGATAGTTTTTATAGCGAAAAATTAGCTTAAACGATTTCCAGGCGAAACAAACCGCGACCGGAAACTTAGTACATATATTATGCAAAAAGTGATATTTATGTTGACGTTTGTTCTTTACTCACCTTGTTTCTTGACGTCTGACAGGTTTTTGAATAATTTCACACCAGCAAATAAATCCATCAGGCTTTTCAGTTTAATCAAATTTATTTAACATCAATTCGTTAAATATTAATCTTAATTACTACATAATTTACTAAACAACAAGAGTATAAATTAAATTTAAAAATAAATACTCTGCAAAAAAATAAAAATAAACATGTATCTGTCTGAATATCTATTTTGGCTAATTTACACTTTCTCGCGAACGTTTACACTTGGACCTATAACGAGATGCTCGTTGTCTATTTTCACGTTATGATGACAATCGATTTTCACTGAATCACATGTGCCGATGACTTCAATTTTACCATAATTTTGTTCCACGTGCACGTCACAATTGAGTCCAACCAAAAGTATATCACCTTGGTTCCTTATCATCTTTACTCTGTTGTTTTTACCAACTATCTCTAATTTGTTTTTGTTTTCCGTGATCACCAATTTCATTCTGTTCCCAGTTATTGTGTACACCTTCATTTTTATATTTTACACGTTGGTATATTTTTATCCGGCCGACTGACTTTACCTAGTCCAACCATGTTACTGAAGCAGTCCGTGTTATGCAGTGATGTTATAGAATTAGCAGTAAAAGGTACTTCCCCGATTTTGATAATATCCATTGCATTTTCTTGATAAACTTTTTCATATGACAGGCTTTGACTTCTTAATAGGGTCAGATGATTTCTTTGTGGGTAAAATCAGTATTGGGAATGTATGATGAAAATATATAGGTATATGCATCAGAATATCGATAGGATAGATGGGATTTGTATAAATATATTTTTGAATAATTCGGTATGAAAGTTTACACGGAGAAATTTGGATAGACAAAATTTATAAATTGTTATCCTTAACGTAAATTAATATTTAAATTCAACAGTTTGTTATTAACAAAAGTAACACTATGAAATGATTTAAAAAATTTGTGCTTACGCAAGACAATAAGTTAACACATTTATATTGACTTTTTTCTTTAATAAAATAAACGTACGTTACATCAAACAACGGGAAATATAGGAAGGTGGAAAAGACAAACTGTATTAGTTCTAATCGCGTTAAAACGAGTACTTTATAATTTAAAATATATCATAATAATAGTAACAGGGTTTCTCATAATCTATAATTACTTTTATTAATTCAAAGTTCATACAGTTGCAGTGACTTCTTTAAATAAGTAATGTACAGGAAAAACTTGATAATATGAGCGATAGATAATATCATTCCGGTTTTAAATCCCCGGTCTTTGGACCGTGTTTCGCCGCCGTTTAATTTGGCTGAGAATAACGTCTCTCGCGCCGCGCCGGTACGCCTGTCCAAAGATCGTTACAGGGTTACCTGCAAACAATAGAGTCAATAAACCATAAATATTTTTTTTTTTGGTTAAACTGATTCAAGTTTTTTTATATGCAAAAATTTCGTTTATACGTCTGCACAAAAATGAACATGTTATTATCTAACTTGTCGTACCGGTTTTTCGAAATAATGTATGTTATTTAATGATATTATTTCTTTATATTGTTGAAAGAATGTTTAAAACCGGTCCATAAGTTTTTTGTGTTTATTCGTTATAAATAAAAATCAAATCGTTTCTCTTTGTATAGGAAATTATATGATACTTGAGTGACATCTAAAATTTATAAATTTCGTCGTTAATAGATATTATTATGATTTTATATTATCGTGAAGCACATGTTTTAAGGGAAAATGGGCATAAATTACAAAAGGATATAATATATTCGTGTTCCATTGTAATTTTTTTGGTTCATTAATTATTAGTTTAATAATGTCAGCGGCGTCCCTATTCTGACCTGTTATTTGTGTCTGACCGCTCTCGGCAACTCCAGCCGGCTCTTTCATCTCATGAAATAACCCTCCGCTGGTCGGTGCTGCGTGCGGGCGGCGCTCGGACCGGTATTGCCACCTTTTTGTTTTGACGGGCCAATAAGCAAATAAGGTCAGGTTGGAACCACTCACTGGAGTTTGTATACACGTTTAGTGGAACCTTCATTGACTGTATACCATTTATGCCGCTGTATTAAATTATATTTCTGTAGCCGAGTGGTTCGCACGCCTGTTTCAAGGTGTTGCCATCTCTCAGGACCCGGTTCTATTCCCGGTCAAATTCATGTAGTAAATAAACCTTTCTTTTTGGTCTTGGATCTGGGTGTTGTAAATTATCACTCGCTGTTTGAGATAGGGAACCTCCTTTCCCCAAGATGGAAGGGCTTTGTGTAGTAATAAATAGAAACTTGGCTTATTTAAATTGTTCTTGAAAGGTAAGCAAATAATTATAAGAAATTTCTTATTAACAATAACTATATTGTAATAAAAAATAGTTATAACGTGTAATGTATAACCATTAACCATTAAAACCAAAACCAAAGGTTAAAGGCAATATAGAATATAAAATTTATATTATACTTATATAGAATATAAGTACTCGATTTGTAGCATATATTTACTGTCGAAGTAAAATAGTCTTATTTTTTACTTATTATAATCAATCAAAAATAGTATTTAACCATCGTATTTTTTATTATTATTTATTACTTACATCTTCGCCCTTGTGAGCGGATGAGATGTTTTTGGGTGTAATAAATAGTCTACGTGAAGCTATACTATCACAATCATTCTCAAATGTACGTCAGAAAATTGTGTTACATGCCAGTCACTCAGTAAGAGGTTCTAAGAAATTATATATATATTTTTTTATTTTATGATTCGTATTGTGTTGTCTTCCGCAAGCGCTTAAAACAACTAGATGTAATAAATATTATTGGTTTGAACACGGATAATGTGTTGTACACCGATATTTTGCTTTAAACATGATTAACTTGTTTATAAAGTGTGGAGATCACTTGTTCTAATGGTGACTTAATAAATACAGTGCTTACTTCCTCGTGTGTTTATTTATATTATTTATACGGGCGATGGAAACTTATCTGTAGTATACTAATTTATTGTACTTTTTAAGTGGCTTTTTTCCTGCGATTTCGTACGCGTAAATTATAGCTTATGTTACTCTTGTATGATGTAGCTTCGCGTAGGTGAAAGAGTTTTTATAATCCAGTAGTTTGTGAGCCTATTTGATGCAAACAAACAAACAGAAAACAAATTAATCTTTCCTCTTTATAATACATATTATTATAAGTGATTATAAACCAGTATGTTTAATTGTAGGTAAAAGACCCCAAAGCTCTAAGAATGAGATATTGGACAGATTCACCCTACATAAATATTCGAAACAAAAAACTAAACTAAATACGGAAACTGTAAAGGGTCCGAAACGTCATGAAATCTAAATAAACGCGCTACGCCCGTTAAAAATAGTTTTTATTTATTTCATGAAAAACTAATAATGGAGTATAATATTTAGCTTTAAGATATTACATGGTACCTAGGCTTAAAGTACGTGTACAGTTGGAACGGGCAAGCTCCTTGCTGGATTCCGGGTCCTTCTCCCCAACGAGAATATTCTGCAGCGGGTTGTCAATCACGTTTTAATCTGTCCTTCACAAGACAGGATGGTTGAAGAGCTCTGGTTTAAGGCTCAAGGTATATTAATGCTGTGTCACCAAAAAAGGTTTAAGGAACTTTCAAAGTTCTGCAAACTACAATATTGTGTTACGTATCAAATTCATGTCTTAATGTGAGAATCTCAAGTATAATTAAGTAATATCAGAAAAAAAGGCGAAATTTCACTTATTTGACTACTCCCTTTATCTCCGAAATTCCCTAGCATAAAATAATCTGTTAAAAATAATTTCTGTAGTTATGAAGTTTCACTCGCAATAACACGAGTTCAACTCGCACTGGCTGGCATTTTTTCTAAGAATTCAAAACAAATTATTGTTTTACTGTTTTACGTTCGTTTCTTAATTCTCAAAGCTAGCCGTTATAATACGTATGTGTCTGCTCAAACGTTCACTCGCATTAATTTATTATCAATATTAATTTGATATGCAACACAGAAATAGCGCGCACGTTCATCTGACGCGCGTATTTCGTCCGACGCCGTGGTCTCGCTCTATGTCCGGTAATTGCAACGTATTATTTACATTTATGCTCCTATCGAGTTTTTATTACGGTCGCACATAAATTGTCTGTAATATACAAGAGGATAATCATTTATTATCAATAATAAATAAATTTCACAAACGAATCGTGTTATTCTATTTAATATTGTTCGTCCGTCAAACACGCCGAAGCTACTGAACGGATTTTGATGAAATTTTGTATACAGATAGGGTATTAGCTGACTTATATAATAGGACTTTTTATCCCTCTAAATATTTCCCTAGGGACCACGCAGGCGAAGCCGCTGGCGAAAGTTAGTAATTATAATATCAAATACTAATTTAACAATAACACAGAATCTGTAAAAGATCCAAAACGTCAATAAAACTTAATACAAACGCGATGAAACCGTTTAAAAGTTGTTTCATTAATTTATAATGAAAGTTCGTACCTACTTGAAAGGTGTTATTATTTCACCTATATTGAGAACGTGTATTTCGTGCAATATATGTCCATAAGTATTTGTAGCTATATTATTTATTGTATGGCTGTACTTTAAGCTTGCCAACAGAATAAAAAAATATCTCGTACGTTGTTGACTGAAGAGAAATGTGTGGTGATAGAGCTGTTTTTAAAAGCTGTATAATATACTTATTGATATACAGAAATGTTGAAGCTTTGTTATCCTAGTAACCCAGCTACGTGCTGGGTGTTTTAGTATAAAAAATATAATATATGTTGTGAAAGATATTTCTGTCTACTCATCGATTATATGAGTTGCAGACCAATTTTATATTTAAAATAAAGATAACTTTACGATCGTCCTATTTTCTTTGATGATATATCAGATGTTTAGTAGTTATTAGAATATTTGTTTCATCTTCCACTTCTTGATATTTTTTTTTCTTTTATTGATGATGGTGATTAGTTCTCTTTTTTATACTCGATAGTTAAACTCGTTTGTTTTTAATTCATTTCTACAAATAAATAAAATTAGAGTGTATGTTTGTAATATTAAAAAAACGCTTTTAACTAAATGCATATGTATCAAAACACGGAACATATACCAAAATATCATTTTAGTTACTTTCCACTCGGACGAAGTCGCGGGCACAGCTAGTATTAAATTAGAGCGTACATATTTTGCAAAAGAAATTTTAAAATAATAAAAATATTCGGTGGCGAGCCTTTATGCTCCTAACGAGTAACCCTTTTACAAATAAATTTGTAAAAAAAATTTTACTTGTGCAATTTCAAAGAAAAAATATCAATGATGTTAAGTAATACTCGTACAACCGGGTTTGATATTGCATCATCTCTGACGATAGTACCACTAACCGGTTTTTAGATGATACGTGTATTCAAATAAATGGTGATAAAATTGCTCTGATATTATAAAATCCTAGATAAGTGACAGTCGATAAATATAAGTCGAATATTAAATAAAACATTATTTTTAAAAACTATGAAATTTTTAAGACGTTGTGGATTCCATTTACTATAAACCAAGAAGTGAGTGATAAGTAACTTTGTGTTTTTGGGGTTTAGGTGAAGGTAGCGAATACATTGTACTTGCATAAAAACAATATAAAAAGGGT